CTTACAATCTCTCTTAAATCTAATTCAAACAAGAAGTTGGATTCAGAAAAATATAGATATTAAATATAAATCTTGTTGTGTTGTTTCTATTTCTTAACTATAATAATATTAGTCAAATTTTCACTTTAATTTATGATGCCTACTTATAGATTTTAAACTAAAGGAGTATTTATAAATGTTTTTAATTATATTTTTGTTTAATTTTTAATGAGGAAAACAACTGCTCTTTAATGCATTGTTCTTAATACTTTACATAACAATTTAATTTGTATTCACATCCTCACAGGCTATTTAGCTTTTGGTGATTTTCAAATTCTGATTGTTATTTATATGTATTATTCTATTGTTAGTAAAGTAAATTTGGTAATAACTGCAAATTTGGGGAAAAAATAAAATATAGGATTGATATTAATAATATAACACACTTCTTTTTTCTACAAACGCCCATTATTATTTTTAGGTAAGAATAAGCAATGGAAAACTTATTAAATAAAAATACTTGGTTTAGGATGGAATGAATATGGGATCCAGAAGGACCAGGAAAAATGCAACTGCTGTCACCAAAAAGTTGTTAAGAGAGTTTGGAGAAGCAAAATGTTATCCGCAGGCGTAAATAAGTTCGGCTAGGGGTAGCAAATGCAAATGGTCATAGACCAATGGAAGCCTCCAATTGGAGAGGGGGATTTGTTTTTCATGTATATTTAATTTTTAAAATGTTGTCTTTATTCAACCAACTTTCTGAATAAGGTTCTTTGTTATAACTTTCTTTGTTATAACTAATAACTTCCTAAATGTTTTTATCCTTGTCTCGAACTCTTGTAATTTAGGTAATCTAATCATTTAATAAGAATATTGCAAACAGGAAAATTCTATTTAATTGACAAAACATACAGTATTATAAACATATTTACAATGGAAAATTGGGCTCACTAAAAGAATAATAATACACAACATATTACTGCCATAAAAATTAATGTTTATACACAAGTGCATTACTATGGTAACGGATTAAGAACAAAATTATTTCTCTCTATTATATAAAAAAGTTTTTAGTGACAATTATATTTTATTTTATTTTAGTATTAGCAGAGTAGAAGATAACAGGAATTCATTTTTCAGCGCAGTTTCAGTGGCAATTATTTTAAAAATTATATAGCTGTTCATTTAATTATATATGTGTTAAGCTCCTGATACCTCCTACTCTCCTAATACAAAATTAAGTTTTTAGGCTAAACATTTGAAGAGGAAATGGTATTCATCTGGAGGTGGTAGTTTGATTTTTACCCAGGTGACATGGGTAGTTATTTTTCGATCTAGATGTTTTCCTTGAATACAATATATTAATTATTATGAAGTGGAAAAGGAAGCACCATATAACTTACAATGAAAATATTGGATATAAAAGGCTCAAATTACTGTTAGGCTTATACGAAGTTGGACAAGTTGAACATATATTATGGTTACAAATTGGCTACAAGAATAATTATAATTATATAATTATAAATTGGCACTAATACACGATGTATAATATAGATTTTTAAAGAAATTAGAAATTTGTCCAAACTGTAGTTTTGTTCAGTTTATTTTATGTTGATAAAATAAATATAAATTAAAGTTACACAATTTGAGCTAAGGGTAGTACAATTATATGAAAAGTTGTATAATTTGTAAAATGGTCCATTTAACTAATGGGCTCAGATCACTCAGATACAAATGTGAACCAATGAAAAAAAAAAATTCTATTTAGAGGGACTATAGATTATTGAATTTCATTGGAGTGTGTAAGGTATCCCACTTCTACACCAAGTTTTAATATTCAATGGCGTCAAGTTCACCAATAAGCCTTTTTATGTGTATATTAATACATTTACTAGATGTATTTCTTTAATACAATTGTAAATATCATGAATAAATAAAAATATTTAAAAAAAGGGATTAATAAGACGGAACAATATTTGATCTCCTTTTCGGTGGGAACGTCTAAATTTACTTCTAATATACATATTCAGCACCAGCAGCTCGGCAATAGCCCCCTTGCTTAAAACTGGAGGGGCGCCCTTTGGGGCGCCGGACGTCTTCTGGGGCGCTCCTTATTTGTAAGAAATAAAAAGAAAAAAATTACAAAAGTATTAAAATAATTTATTTCATCCTATCAATAAAGTAACTGTATTAAAGAAATGTTGAATGAAATAAAATTAAAATATTACATAGTATAAAACAGCTTGAGAAATACATTTAATATTTTTGGAGGGAGGGATGACGTCATTGCCCGGGGGAGGGAGGGCGATAAATGTCTAAGGACGGCACTGTAGTATTTCTTATATCCAAATGTAAGTGTCATACCTAGGCCATTTGGGTACCGTGACGGATTTATTTTTGAGGTCCAATTAAAAAAAAAAATGTTCTTTTAATAAATCTATCATAAAACTATATTTTTAAAAATAAAAACCATAATATTCTCATTCAATTTCAATATTATGGATTTTTAAAAATAAATCTATCATTCAATTAAATTTCCTATCGAGGGGCACTCTTAGGAAGTGAAATCCCCAGGCGAAAGACCTCCGCTCGTCCCCTCCCATTCCCCCTCTCTTCACAGGTAAGAGCCACTGTCAAATATTCCTAGGCCGAACGGACTAAGTTGTGTGCACAGCACATCCGTTACCCGGCAACTTGATATATGAGTGATTGATAAAAAATAGTCACGAGTTCGCGTCCCGTTACCAGGGGAGTCTTTTAAATCCCCGCCCACATCCCCTAGCTCGGAAAAAACCCGTATAGCCTTAAAGGCGATGAAAGGGAGGACCCCCCAAAAAAAAACTCGCGGTACTGTGCACACGCGTTAGTCCATTCCGCCCCCCTCATAAACTTTGTTGGCGCTGCTTGCGTCATGAAACCCCCTTCTGGGCACCCATGTCTGTTCTTCATATTCTAAATGCAGACTACCGCATTGGTTTATCAGTTTTCAGGTTTAACTGAGTACCAAAAATGGCAGAGAAAGGTTTAAAATAAAGGCATAAATATATGTATTGAGATAAATTGAATTAGATCACTAGAGGATCCAGGATTTAATGGTGTGTAAACCCTATTAAATGTAATTACACGAACAATAATACTTTTGAGGAAGGAGATCGTCGGGGGTAGCAATCAAAAAAGACTAAAATTGGGGAAAACTATTTTATTTCAAGGCAACGTTCCGACCCAACTTCCTTCAGGGCTTGAACGAACAAGACAAAAAATGATATAGAAAAATGTGGAAGTTACATGATGTCACTAGCGGATCCAGGATTGAATTATGGGCAGGGGGGGGACTCCAGCCCGAAAGTTTTTTTTCATATATATATAACGATAATTAATTTGATAAAAAAAATAAAGAAATTAATTACTTATATGAAATGGTGTTTAAGTGGTTCTTGAAGTCCTATTAAATATAATTACACGAACAAGAATACTTTAAGAGATAGTTTTTAATATTTTTTTCTGTAAAACATGGTTACATTTTACCATTTTGGGGGAGGGCTTCAGCCCGAAAGCCCCCCCTCCGTAGATCCGCGTGTGCATGATGTTTAGATATAAAATTATAAAGTGTGAATAAACTTATTAAAATTGTTAACTTATTAAAATTAAAATTGTAATAAGTTTACTTACACTGTTTATAATTTCTATCTAAATATCATGTAATTTCCACATTTTTCTACATACTTTTGTATCTTGTTCGTTCTAGCCCAGAAAAAGACCTGCAAAGTTGGGTCGAAACGTTGGCCTGAAATAAAATAATGCTTTCACTATTTTAGTCTTTTTATGGCCACCAGTATTCAAATAATACTTTAGGGGATAATTTCTTAATATTCTTTTCATAAGATAGAGTTATATTTCACCATTTTGAGTGGCCTCAGCCGGAAAGCCCCCCTAGATCCGCCTGTGGATTAGAGGATCCCTTCATAGATAACATGAATATACATTACTGTTAAATTAGCACATACTGCGATCTTTCAACCACATAATTATAAATTTATAAGTGGAGCAAACTAATTAGAAATTGATGAGTGATCTATGATGTATCATCGACATTTCCTGCCTTACCCTACCCCCCACTTTACATTAGTCATCAAGGAATTACTAAAATTATTGTATGACGGGCTGATTGTCAATTCCAGGCTATTTTTAAAAATATTTCGTTAGTTTCTTAAACAAGCTTTTCTATCACTGCAGCTCACTTATCCACATTTCCCTAGATTCTTAGATAGATTTCTAAGATATATAATATAAAAATATTTTAAATTTCTGATATTAATGAATGCAAACTATTAGTTCCAATTAATAAAGGAATGTTTATAGATAGCACTCCAACTTCGACCTTAGCGACCCCTGCCTGAGGAAACGTGAAGCTATTCTCACAACTGATTCATTGTACTGAGTTCTTTGTATTGTGTATCGGCTGAGTATAGTAACAAACTCAGCGCATATGCTTTGTTTGTTGTAGTAGGGTGAGTTCTTAGTTTGATTTAGTTTTAAATAGTCAATAATGATCTTAAAAGCGAACTCAAACAAGATTTAGGAGTTCCTCCTTTTTTTCAGTACGTATCATATTTGTATATATATCTCGTAGATTTTGATTTCTGCAGTGAAATAGACGATCGCATTTATGTGGTTACTTTCCATGTTCGATGAACTCCATCGAAATTAAATGGTCTGGTCCATTTGCACTGCAGTTTCTAACTACAGCTATTGAAGTATTCTTCACAGGAAAACATGGCGGATATGTTTTCATTCCATTCATAAATGCATTACAGACAGTGTTTTAGCCTACAGTTTTTCTAAATCATTGTTTTTCTTAAGTTAGTTTTGTTATGTGTGAGTTAGTTTATTGCCACTTCAAACTTTGTTCATGACAGGCACTTTACATTATCATATGAGGCTTGTGAATTATAAAGTTGCATTATATGAAGATTTAATATTATTTTTTTTAATTGTAGGTGTGATAACTATCTGCTTTGACAATGATGCAACAAGCTCAAAGTAGGCCAAGTAAGTTACAGTTTCTATAAGTTTATATTTCACATATAGTTCTTAAGTATGAGTTAATTTTCTCCATTTGAGAGTTCATAATTACCTGTTATGGTTTGCCTGGATTCTTTATTTAGTTGATGTTCAGTACCAAACATGAAAACAAAGTTAGACCATTTATTACTTACCAACTCATCTTTCATTTACGTTTTATAAATGTCTGTTTGTTTTTATGTATAATGTGTATATTCTTGTATTACGACAGTCCTTAGTAAATAAGTAAAAAAGACTAATGGTTTTCCAAATTGTTTCTTTGTACTAGAGTCATGATTAAGAAATATATAATTACTAGTTGGCCCGTGCGAATAATTCACAGAAAATTTTGTTTAGTGAAGAAATAGCAAAACAGTATGAAAATAAGTAGATTATATGAGGGAGGAATTGATTGTTTTTCCTGGGTCGATTATAATATTCCATATAGCATAATAGACCAAAATATTTTTACTATATGGGCCTATTTCTAAATACTGACAGAAAAGGCAACATTCAAAATAAAATCTCGATCATGGGATTTTCTTAATTATTAAAAAACATAAAATGTGCAAACAAAAAATGCCTTTAAGAAATAATGAAGTATATATCAGCTAAGAAAAAAAGGTCGTGGAATAGTAAATGCAGTATCTTGAAAGAAGAAGAAATTACCAGTAAAAGAAATTAGTACCAAAACTAATGGACTGTATCTTTGTTAATAATTGTCGGGGGGATGTTACTATTTTTCACACCTGAAGGTTTTCTGATTTTTAAAATGAGGGCTCAATCATTGGATTTGATGAAGTTATGGCATTGCGACAAAAAACCATCTTTTAGAAATAAAATAAACTTCAGCCTACAGCTGATGCGATTAGTTTTGCAAAAAGGCTATACTTCTTATCATATTGTTTTTATTTTATTTTAAACATGTATTCAGTTTAAATTAACTTCCATAGCCCGTTTGACTGAAAGCGATTTAATCCAATATATAAGTTAGTTCAGACTCTTGAGATTATCTAGGTTAGATTAGGCAAAATAATTATGTTTTATGTCTCATATTAATGTTTTATAATTTAATTCTCCTATTGTTTTAATCATGATTTACAATCAATCTTTATATTTACTTTATTATATTTCTCTAGTGTCCCATGGCAACTACCAGGGCGGGCCAGATTTGCCCATGGGCTCTGTCAAAGACCAGACGCTCATGTGGCAGCAGAGCTCATATTTGGCTGATTCAGGAATTCATTCAGGTGCAACTACAACGGCCCCCTCTCTTTCTGGTAAAGAAGAAGAGATGTATGGGGATCAAGACATGTTTGACCTGGATCAAGGGTTTACTCAGGGTTTCACCCAAGAGCAAGTTGATGGTATGTTCATTTGGTAAAGGATTAATCCATTAACATTTCTAAATTAGTAGCAGTTCATTAATATATATTTTTAATTACAGAAATGAATCAACAACTCTCTCAGACAAGGTCCCAGAGAGTTCGAGCTGCAATGTTTCCTGAAACTTTAGAAGAAGGTATAGAGATTCCATCTACTCAGTTTGATCAGGCTCAAGCCACAGCAGTCCAAAGACTTTCAGAACCGAGCCAAATGTTGAAGCATGCTGTTGTAAATCTCATCAATTATCAGGTAGAACTTCATTTAGTATTTTGTTCTGTTCGAATTGCTTTTATTTTAGAGGCTTTTAAGGTATAATTTGTCATGCACAAATTGAAGCTCTCCATTTTAGTCTTTGTTATTTCCTTTTCAAATTCACCATTCTTTATTTCATGCTTGTTAACCAATTTTTCTAAGAATTTACTTGATTTTTGGACTGCATTTTAAAATTCTCTTTGTGCGAATGTCCCTAAGAATAGTTTATATGTCATCGTTATCGTATGACTTATGTGCTGCTACTTCATTACTTGAAATTTATTATTTTTCATGGAAGCATTTAAAGTTTTAAATAATTATTGATATCTGAAAATTTTAATACATTATTTTAAAGTTCGGATCATTAGTCCTTGTAAGTATTAACTCAAAAATCTTGATTTTCAAATTATGAATTTTTTTCTTTTAATGAATGATATGTCCGTCCACATCCCATTTTAACTTAGTGGAACTGTGTGTAAGTCGTTAAGTGGACTTATTTGTCCACCATAGTTGACACTCAACAATTATATTATTTTAATTTGATGTTTTACAGGATGATGCAGACTTAGCTACCCGTGCTATACCAGAATTGATAAAGTTGCTTAATGATGAGGATCAAGTAGTGGTTTCACAGGCTGCTATGATGGTGCACCAGCTGTCTAAAAAAGAAGCCTCTCGTCATGCCATCATGAATAGTCCTCAGGTAACTTTTTGTATTTCTAAATGGGAGTTTCACTTTATTAATCTATTGAAATCATTAACATTGTAGAAAATGATTATTAAAAATCAATGGTTTTAACAAAATATTAAAAGATGAACTATTTTATAAACAAGGATAAAATATTTGGCATCATTATTATAAGGTCAATGCTTTTCTCTTTTTTTTTTGTAACTATATAAAAGGTATGTGGAAAAAATGGATAATTAATATATACAGTAAAGTTCTTTAAAAAATATATTTATTTAAAACTACTTTAATTCGTCATATCCTATACAGCATACATTATTAAATTATCAAAATGCGTAAAAAAGAGTAATATCAATCAAATCTATATTGGATTCTTCTATAAATTGATGTAAATATTGTATCATACCTAGTTCTATCATGAATATTGTTACAAGGGAATATATACATAAGTTTTTTTATAAAATATTAGGCCAAATGTACACAGTTTTTACATCCGGTATTATTTATTCGATGTTTTGGCTTCAGGAGCCATTTTCAAGATCCCGCAAACAAATTTTAATTCAGTTTTTATAGTTCAAAATGCATCCTTATTAGACACATATTATTTAACAACTATCAGTAATATAAATATTCCAAATTCTATTTTATAAAAAAACTTTTTTATATTAAATTTTTATCATCTACCTATCATGCACCGTTTCATAAAATTTCTAAAAAGTTGTAATAGATAAATGATTAATTATAATAGAATGTTAATTTTTTTTAAAAAATAATATTATTTGTTCTTAATTTATGTACATGGTAGGTAGATGATAAAAATTTAATAAAAATTTTTTTTTTATAATATAGAATTTGGACTATTTATATTACTGATAGTTGTTAAATAATATGTGTCTAATAAGGATGTATTTTGAAATATAAAAACTGAATTAAAATTAGTTTGCAGAATCTTGAAAATGGATCCTGAAGCTTGAAACGTCGAATAAATAATACAGGATGTAAAAACTGTGTACATTTAGTGACCTTTGGCCTAATATTTTATAAAAAAAACTTATAAGAAAATGGCACCAAACCTGAATGATGTGATTAGAATATATACAGATTTCAAGAGAAAAATGAATTTCTTCAAAAACTTTATTAGAAAATAAAATGTATATATATAGAGAGAGTAAAACAAAAAAAGAAATTACTCAGAAATTATTGCAGCCACTTTTGAGTTGACCTGGTCTTGTGAGCTCGAGCAGAATCCTGCTGGAAAACCCAATGACTTCGAGCAAACAGAGTATCATTTAGAGGCTTGACAACAGGTTCCAAAATGTCGTCCTGATAGTTTTTAGTGGCTGTTTTAACTCTTCCAAGCTGTGGTCCACTCTTCCAATGACTTCCTGGGCTTCTTTAGAGCTGTGTGCGTGCACACGATCATTTTGGCGATTAAATTTTTCTTCAATTCTAAAAATTTTCTCATCGCTAAACAAAATCTTTCAATGAAGACCATTGGTGTAATGGCCAAGGAGCACTTTGCATCTACCCACTCTAATTTTTTTGTTAGCCTTTGTCCTGTCATTCTTTGAAATGCACCTATCCTAAGGTCACTTTTTATTTTTTATTACGCAAGACGTTGATCTGACAGAGATTCCCATTTCCTGAGACATGATTTGTTTTCTAATGGGATTTCTTCTGATTTGAGCAGCCACTGCTCTCACTGCATTTGCTGTTCTCACAGTGCAGGGACAGCCTGGTCGAGGTCTGTCACATACAGATAGGATCTCATTATATCTATTTACATTGCGGTACACGAACATACAGCTGATACCTGAAGATTTCAAAGTGTTGAAAATCTCTGACCTACATTTTCCAACTTTGTGTAAGGCGGTCACAACTATTCAGTTTTCTTTATCACCCCACTCCATACTAACTGAGCGAAAGAAAAATACAAACTAATTTGGATTATTATCCTGACATGTAAAAAAAATAACCTGATAGAGGTAAGAATTATCTAAATAATACCGAAGGATGTAAATAAAGTTCAACTTTTGTAACAGTATTTATGGCAGATAGGTATTTCTGTCTAGATCTGATCATTTTTGGAGGTTTTTAATGTTGGGATATGTTAATTTTATTTATATCATTTTTTTTTTTTTGTTATGTTAATAATGATAAATCTTGTTATTAGATGGTTGAAGCTTTAGTGAGGGCATTATCGAATAGCAATGACCTGGAAACAACTAAAGGAGCTGTAGGGACATTACACAATTTGTCTCATCACAGGCAGGGTCTCTTGGCTATTTTCAAAAGCGGTGGCATCCCTGCTCTAGTGAAGCTTTTAAGGTTAGTTTTCTTAATGATATATGGTCATCAATTATAATTTTATTTTATTATCTGTGGAACAACCTATTATTTTCTCCTTTTTCTTTAGTTCTCCAGTGGAATCTGTTCTTTTCTATGCAATCACTACCTTGCACAACCTCCTTCTTCATCAAGAAGGAAGTAAGACCGCTGTGCGAGTTGCTGGAGGATTGCAAAAGATGGTTGTTTTACTACAACGAAATAATGTGAAGTTCTTAGCCATTGTGACTGACTGTCTCCAAATTCTAGCTTACGGCAATCAAGAAAGTAAGCTTATTATTTTGGCATCTCAGGGTCCTATTGAGCTAGTGCGAATCATGAGGAGTTACGATTATGAGAAACTGCTTTGGACAACATCAAGAGTACTTAAAGGTTATTATTTTATTTTTCTTATTTAGTAATTATACATGTCTTATTCAAGTTACATAATTTATTATTAGTTTTCAAAGATAGTTTTGCAAGTTCATGAATAGAAAGCTCGGCTTAGATATAAATTAAAAAAAAATTTAATTGCAGCATATGATTACTTAATATTTTTTAAAATATGATTACCAGTTGATGATGTTTCTTACATCTACTTTTGTATAATATATTTTATTAGTAAGTAAAAATCGTGCAACTTTTCTTAAGAACTCTTTTTTAAGAATCATGTATTTTTTTTCTCCTTCATTGATTACTTTTGTTTTTTTAAACAGTATTATCTGTTTGTTCGAGTAACAAACCCGCAATAGTTGAGGCTGGAGGTTTACCTGCACTGGCAGTGCACCTGGGGCATCCATCGCAGCGACTTGTTCAGAATTGCCTTTGGACCTTGAGAAATCTTTCAGATGCTGGAACAAAAGTTGGTGGCTTAGAAGGGCTTCTTCAGTCTCTTGTTCAACTCCTGGATTCCTCTGATATCAATATTGTTACTTGTGCAGCTGGTATCTTATCAAATTTGACTTGTAACAATCAAAGGAATAAAGTGACTGTGTGCCAGGTTGGTGGTGTCGATGCTCTTGTCCGTACAATTATATCAGCTGGAGATAGAGAAGAAATTACTGAACCTGCTGTGAGTATTATTCAGTAATTCATGATTATTCTTTTACTAGTGCATCTTATATTACTACGTAGCTGTACTGCCCAAGGTAGGCCTTGGCTTCCCTGACAGCATTGAAACAGTTCTCTCTGCACAACGCTCTTCTCCAGTTCCTTATACCGAGATTTTCCACATCTTGAATCCGAGGTAGTCCTCTCTTGGTACCATACATTTTTCCAAGCAGAATTCGTTTTTGCGTTCTTGATTCATTCATCCATGTTACGTGACCCAACCATTCAATTTTCCTTGCTCGTATGAAGCGGAAAATGCCACAAGATCCATATAGTTCGCTGTTCTTTTGGATTGTCCATTCACCCTCTTTCAACGTAGGTCCATAAATTGTTCAGATAATTTTCCTCGAAGATTTTCAAAGCATTTATTGTGGGGGTGTTAAGTGTCCAAGTTTCCGCAGAATATGTCACTAGTGGCCTTACTAATGTTTGATATAACCTTATTTTTGTCGTTCGTGACAACAGCGATGACCGAAAGAGTTTTATGTTTGCATAATAAGCCTGGTTACCAGCCACAATTCGTTACTTCACTTCTCCTGATTTTCCATTTTTACAATTAAGCTCCACACCATGATAGGAGAAGGATTTAACATTTTTGAAAAAAAACCTTCAACGCACAGTTCTTCTCTAGCTCTTGAATCACTACCTGAACTTACAAACATGTACTTGATCTTGCTTTCATTAACTTCTAAACCAAGCACTTCACCTTCTGCCTTCAACAATTTGAATAAATCGATTAGAGATTGTTTATTCCTTGCCTTGGAACTAAGCAAATATTATCCCATTGGAGTTTAGCTTCCCAATCAGACTATAGTGCAAGATTAAATAATGTAGCAGATAGCACATCTCCTTGCCTAACTCCAGCAGTGACTAGAAAACCGTGACTAACAATATACACTTCAGCATTACTGCCATCCATGGATATTTGTATCAAGCGAAGTACATCTTATATGTTGTAATACAATTACTATATTAACATTTTCCTTTAATTTATGTTTAAGATGCAACAAGATATCACTTATTTTCATGTTTATTTTAATAGTAGATAGTGTGTACAGTCAAGGTTTTTTAAAAATTTGTTTGACTATAAATCAGATCAAGAAACCTTTCTGTCAATTCCAAGCTAAACTATCAACTAACAATATTAATATCTTAATTTTAATAATAATTTGTTAAGCCTTATCATTCATCTTAGAGATGATGAATTAAGACTATTAATTGATTCTGTATTTTCAATGTATAAATTTAAAGGCAGCTTTAGGTGCTTGTAAATCAATATATTATAAATCTTGAGTTTTAAATTATTTTCTAGGCCTATAATTAATTCAACTTACCACCTATTCTTACCAGAGTAGTGAGGTTTAGATTCATTCCATTAATATAAATTTCGACCTGACAAAACTACTACTTAACTAATATTGGTATTTTATAAGGTTCTCCAATATTGTTTATTGGATCACATGCTGATTTATACAGTTTACTTCAGATTGGAAGGCTCTTATATCTGGGCCCTCACATTAACACTATCACTTTCCTGTTAAGCAGTTGATATGAATTACTAAGCACTACCTACTAATAGAAAACAATAAGTAATAGTACTATTTATTATGAGCAAGTGTATTAATCATTCTATTAATTATCTAAAAGGTTTGTGCTTTGAGGCACCTAACTTCTCGCCATATGGAGAGTGAGCTTGCCCAGAATGCTGTCCGCCTCAACTATGGCTTGCAAGTGATTGTCAAGTTGTTACACCCACCATCAAGATGGCCTCTAGTCAAGGCTGTTATTGGTTTGATTAGAAACCTTGCCTTGTGTCAGGCTAACCACACACCGCTGAGGGATCACGGCGCGATACACCACTTGATCAGGCTTCTAATGCAAGCATTCCAGGATACACAGAGAGTAATTCCAATTTTCTTTGTTTGTTTTTTTCTGTTATCTTAAAATTTTATTTTATTGTAATTAATCTATAACAGTTTATATGTGGCTTTGAGCGACCATAAGCACTTAGCAATAAATGAACAACAATTAGCAAAGTAAAAACTAGTGTTTTCAAAATAAATAATAGCAAATAATTTAGTTGTTCAGGATTAAAGGTGTATTATAATATAATTTATATCTTATTCAAGACAAAAAAACTTCTTGTCATGTCAAAATGAATTTTAAATTGTTATTATAGATTTATAGCTGTCAATTTTCATTTCCATTAGAGATAAACAAGCGTCCAGATGGTTATTAACTACTGGTTACGATAGTTTATGATTATATTACTAAATCATCTGTTGTTTTTTTGTTTTTTACTCATAAGTTTTTAAATTATTGTTATATCTATTTTGTCTACAATTATTTTTCAAATGATATTTAGAGATCCAGTGTTACCAGCGGAGGAACTCAGTCAGGTGGTATTTATGCTGACGGTGTGCGCATGGAAGAGATAGTGGAAGGCACTGTGGGTGCTCTTCATATCTTGGCAAGAGAGAGCCACAACAGAGCTATCATCAGAGGCCAGATGGTCATACCGATTTTTGTGCAGCTTCTTTTCGATGAGATAGAGAACATTCAACGAGTGGCTGCTGGCGTGCTCTGTGAGCTTGCCCAGGACAAGGAAGGTGCTGAGCTCATAGAACAAGAAGGTGCAACTGCTCCTCTTACAGAATTACTCCACTCTCGAAATGAAGGTGTTGGTGAGTTCTAACAGAATTTATAATTTAACTATTAAAGTTTTACAAATTGAACTGTCTTTTAATCTTTTTCACCTGTGTCGGTTTCCACCAATATTATTATTGAATGTACGATATTATTCATTGTATATGGTTGGACTACACTTGTTTACCTGCTTTAGTAACGTAATTATACTCTCCTGAGGTTCATTCTAGCAGTATTAAGTGGTTCTGAATATCTGTTATATCTTAGCACTACTTGACTTTTGGCTATTTAACTTATGAGATTATCCAAAATTATGGCTCTAAGAAATAGTTCTATTAGCTTTCCGTTACAATTACAATTGAATGAGACTACATCCTCTCTTGTTAAACCCTATGATCAAGTAATCTCTCTGTCGAGTAAAAAAGTCGATACTTTTCAAGGGTTCTTTATCTGAGGGATACCATGTCAAGTCAACTTATCAGAGTTAACTACATGTTGACTTTACTGTCAATAATTAAAATTCTTACACCAAATAAATTTTTAAATGCTACACAACTTTGTTATTCATTCTCAAAATAGGTTATTAGCCTCTTTTTGCAGTCAAGAAACTGGCATATATTACGAAAAAGAAAAAAATGTATAAACAAAATCCTTCAATAATGAGACAACCATTGTGACAGCAATTGACCACAGTTGCCCTTTCCTCTCTATGAACTCATCGTTGAATTAAATAATTAAAAAGATCTAAAACTATTAAAAAATAAGTTTATACTGTTAGTGATAATAGAAGCATGTTAACAAATATTTATGAAATTTTATCATAATTTTCTTGAAATTCCATAGCTACTTATGCTGCTGCCGTGCTGTTCAGAATGTCAGAAGACAAACCTCAGGATTACAAAAAGAGACTTTCAATGGAGCTTACCAACTCTCTTTTTAGGGAAGATCAAAATTTGTGGAATGGTGATTTAGGAATGGCTCCTGATTTACAGGTAACTTTAAACTTAATTCTATTATATTATACTTTTACTTATTATTATTTTAAGTTGTATTCCTGTGGACCTTCAGAGTTATCGATTTTTTAACTATTTGTTTGCCTTACTGAATTTATTATGGATGGAATCTATGTATGTAGAAGGAAATATTTAAAATGTTGATAGTAGGCATTAACATCTACAAAAAAGTACATATCGATTGTCCAATTTCCAGCAGAAAAGTAGGAAATTTAAGATTTTTGTTTTTTAAAGCGAGTCATTTTTTTTTTTCTAATTGAAAAAATATTTGATTAAAGTAATTAAACACTGCTCTATAGTAAACTGGACAACATTTTCTTCAAATGAATGTAGAATTTGTTATTGTTTAAAATATTTAAAGAGGACTGTTGAGCAGATAAAAACAGCTAAGTTCCATTTAAAAAAAGTCATTAATTATTTGTTTTTTGTTTTTTTTATCACCCTTCAACTGTACTATATTCACCAAAAATCATTATTTTTATAATTTAAATGCGTTTGTAGGCAATTATGTTTAATACAATAAATCCCATATAACACGGATAAATAATAAATAAAATGAGGAGAAGAATAGTTGGGGTGGTCAGTCAAAAAAGAAGGCAAAAATAAAGGATAATATTTATTTTTACATATGCCGACGTTTCGACCTGAAGTTCAGGCCATCATCAGGGCTAAGAAAAGAACCAGATAACAAGGTATGAGAAATATAAAAATTACAGTAAAATGAAGTTGTTAGAATAATGACAATAGTAAGAACAAGAGACAAATAATAATAACAGGTACAAAGTGTGGAATGATGAAGTAAACATAGTCAAAAAAGGTGACATAAGTATTGTAAAGGGAATCTTAGAATAAAATGTAAAACAGAAAAATATGAAGTTATACAAGAAATGAAAATAAATAGTAAAATTAAGATAGAGTGAATAGAATATTTAGATAGAAAATTGAGATGTTGTAAAGTCTATCAATATGTACAGAGAAAGTATGAAATAATAAAGAGTTAAAACAGAGAAAAGGAATGAAAGGAAGGAGGAGAGAAACTGAGAAGGTTGAAATAAGAAAGAGAATAAGTAAGAGAAATGATAACAACCTGACTGCTCCTAAGGTAAAGATGCAATGATCGATCACCCCAACTATTCTTCTCTTCATTATCCACGACAGTCAACCATTTACCAATTATCAATAAATAAAATATCTGAACCGTTAATTGTAGTCATTTTTGCAGAAAACGAGGGTACTTGTAGGTGACTGAATAGAAAGTCACATTATTTCTTTGCTCAAATTGAGGTGGATCTAAAAAAAATTTCCTAATAAACCTCAACATAATTAATATGGACTTAAGGCTTATTAAGCGAGGAAGTTTTTCTAAAATTGGGGTAAATGTAGTACAATTGAAGGGTGATTAAAAAAAATCACAAATAATTTATTACTTTTTTTCAAACGGAACTTAGCTGTGTTTGTCTGCTCAATAGTTTTCTTTAAATTGTTTTAACAATGACAAACTCTACTTTCGTTTGAAGTAAATTTTGTCTAGTTTACAGTGAGCCAATGTTTGATTACTTAAATCAAATATTTTTTAAGTCATCGCTTCCTTTTCAACAGAAAACGTGATTTGCTTTGAAAAAAAACACAAATCTTTAATTTCCTACTTTTCTGCTGGAAATCGGGCAATTGTTTATATGACTTTTTCTGTAGATCTTGATGTTTTCTATCAGCATTTTAAATATTTCCCTCTACTTCCGGGAAACCTTGTATAATTGCCGAAGTTAATTTGAATCGAAAAGGTTTATTTTAAGAACAGATTTGCTGGTGACACAGCATTTTTAAGTTGATAAAATTATTTAAAGAAACAAAAAAGAAAAAAATGTTTTAATTAAGTGCCAACATTTCAGGACATTTATCTCATCTTTAATTATAAAATAATAGCTTAAAAATAAAATAAAATTTAATTTTCTTCCACTTAAAATTAATATTATAATTAATTAATTAATATTAATATTATTATAGGGAAGTGGGTTAGCTCAGTGGTAGGGCACTGAGCTTCCAATACAAAGGTTCCAGGTTCGAACCCCGGCACATGGCAGAAAATTTATTTATCTGTTTCATTGGGCCTGGGTCAGGAGACGCTCCTGGGGCACACCCAGCCTCTATAAAGTGGGTACCCTTAATTAAATAATTGATTAAGGGGGAAAACCTGGCAGTTGAGCGTGATCTCGGTCAAATCACCTCCTTGCACAACCGTTGACCTAGAAACAGTGCTTTCCCTAAATAGTACTGAACCCCAGACCCTTCATGGGTTGTAGTGGTACAGGTTTTTTTTTTAAATTAATATAATCTTTATTATTTTTTTTCCCAATAGGACATGCTGGGGGAGCAAAATTACGACACCATGTACTCTCATGGACCACCTAGTGTCCATAGTAGTCACGGAGGTCGGGGATATCAACCAGGTAATGTATATTATAATACTAAAACATTTTCTAATAATTTTCGACATTTTCAGAAAATGTCTTGAATATCTTATTCTCAAATTTTATGATGTAATTTTTTTTTAATAGTCCATGCTACAGACCCTTTTTATCAAATTATTAACATCCGCCTAAAACTTAGTGAATGGCTTCACCTTATCATCGCCTGCTTTTTTTTTTATTTTAGAAAATTCTCAAAAATTGGTCATTTTTTTATTAAATTAATTAATTTAATAATGTACTAAAAACTCATAATTATCAATTTACTTTCCACTGGAATTGTAAGATAATTTGATCACAGAATAAAAAAAGTGGTCTACTTAAATATTGGGCTGTTTGGCCTACATAAATAACCTCGTAATTTTGGCATGTTGGTGTGGAGGTCACAGCAAAAGATCCGATATTTTTTAAGGCCACCTTTATTCTCGATTTTGTGATCAAATTATCTTACCATTTCAAGTGGAAAACAAATGGGTGCTCGTAAGTTTTAGTACCTAATCAAATAGATAGAGTTGGTCGTTCTCCAGGTTGAAAACGCTCCAATGCCGAGAATTTTTGTAAATAACAAAGTTGTAGGCTATGATGAGATGAAGTTTTAGGCAGAAATAAATAATTTGATTTACATTGTCTGTACCACAGGTTATAAAGGATGTAATAAATATGGTTAGCTTTAATAGCATTATTTTGACACAAACATGCAACTTTTTTGCTTAGGAGTCTATGCAGAAATATGTGACTTATTTTATACAAAGTTTCATATTTTTCAAACAATTGTGTCATTGAAGGTAGTTTAACAAATAGATGTCTTCCGGTATACAGAATGGCTACCAATCAGAATCGGCATTTTTCATTAAATTATTTTTCCTTTTTAAGAATTGAAGAGTAACATCTTCTTCTTTGAATGAGTAATTTATATTATAAATATAAGTTCAGGAATATGTTCCAAACAAAATAGATTCTCAAAACACAACAAAGTTTTCCAACTTTGCCATAATCCCTTTGTGTCGTGCATTAAACTGACTTATGTTGAAGCTGACCAAAATTTTTACATCCATCATAAACTAAATACTATATGACCAATAAAAGTCCAGCGCTCTATGCCACAAGCACTATTCCAATTATATGGATTTGGCTCTCGAAAATTACTTGTTTTACACTGAATAAAAACTTTATAAATTCTACAGCATGAGAATCCATATTTGCCTATAGATCTGTGCAGTAGTGTAATAATAAGTTGTATATTACACCATAGAAAAATACTTAGTTTCCAGATATTGAACAATGACTCCAATACAGCTTTCCTTGTAAGTTCTTACTTATTTCATGAATTTAAGAACATTAAATTCTGCATCGAATGTAATCAACGTTCTGTATTAGTCCAGAATATGTCAAAATTTACAGTCTCAAGGAAGAAGCCTGGTGGCGTAGTAGAAGGATGCAAGTCTGATTTCTCCAAATTACTTGGAGATCAAAGCAAAGTTGGTAAACATTGTCGTGTTTTGATCAGATTTGTAATATAAGTTATTATTCTTGCTAAACTTGACGTTATTAATTCTTGAAGTAAGAAAGTTTTCACTAGGAAGCACCATTCTGTGTTTACGAAACGGTAACTGAAAAAAAATCGATTTTTGATTGGCAGCTATTTCATATTTTAGCGGATTCATGCCAGCAGAAGTTTATTTTTTAGTTCTTTCTTTTCTTTTTCAACATGGGCTCCTAGAATAATAAATTAGTTGCTGCAGAGAGGTATTCATATGTGTAGGAGATTATTTTTGATATTACAATTTCACGTTTATATTCTAAAACTTAAAGCTAAGTTACCAAATTCTCACAATACTCAATGAATATGAAAGGGTTATTAACGGGGAATTACAAATTAAAGCGTACAAAATGTAAATAGAGTTTCGGCATTTCATCAAGAATAATTTATTTATTAATTGTTTATGGTATAAAAATATTTTCAACTTAATAATTAAGGATTGAGACGGAATTGTCTTTTAAGACGTTTACATTCTTATGACATTAAATTATCTGTTTTATTTTTTAAAAATAAATTATAAATTACAATTCTTATATTGTAAAATATTAAATTAACTAAAAAGGTTAATAAAATGGTTTGTTTGATGTATGATATTGATGTTTAAAGGGCTCTGATTGGTGTTCTTCCCTACAGCACAGGTAAAATAGCGTATTTCATGAGCCATCTGTTAAAAAGCTTGCTTTTTTCTTTTCTTTTTTATAATGTGCCGATTGTTTATTCTGTGCATGTTGTTATATGTAGTGTGCCTCTCATATAGAGCTTTTCAGTGTATCACTATTGGTGTATTTTTTTGATGTGCTTAGTGTGCCATGAATGTTTCAGAATCTGTTTATGATATATAGGCCGTTATTTAAAAAAAAAAAAAAAAAAAAAAAGTCAACTCGTTTTCCCTTTATTTTATCTGTTTAATACGCTTTTTTGTCAAAATAATTATTTACAATATATGTTGATTTTGGGATATTATTGACACATGGTTGTTAATATGATATTACAGCGGTTAATTCAAAATCAAGATGCTTTGATGTTTGTAAATATTAATTTCAACTTAAAATAGTATAACAAGATGAACAACAACTTTTTTACTAATTTTAATTTTTTTCATTGTTGCTTGACGTTTTGTATTAATTATCCATTTACTAATGCAATTCAAGTTGTTTTTGTACTATCTTCTCTTACATCGAAACATTAATTCATTTTACTGTTTTTTATTGTATTTTTTTAAGATTCAATATGTATCCTCAGTTGTTTATATTAAAATATGGTATTGTGTTCCATTTGCAGTATATGACATCTAAGATAAAACTGACTTTTATCATGTTTTGCTTTTGGAAATAAATGAAATAAACCCAGCACGTTGAGGAAAAAACAATCAAATGAAAATTAATAAGGTCGTTATTCATCTTTCTTTACTATTATAAATTAAAAAAACAGCTGACCTTCAACAAGATCAAAATTAGATTAATTTCAACATTTTCTTGTTTTGTATTAGAAATTAGTAATTGTGTTCAAGGTACCTTAGATCTTCTACTTCAAAGAGTTTTAATTGCAATATTTATTGGTTGATTTATGCACTAAATTCCTTCACTGTGTGTATTATATAAGCAATATATATATAGAACACTTATATGTATATAGAAACTTTTTTTTTATTAATGTAGATAGATAGTGAAAGCACTTGTGTGATGAAATATTTGAATTTTTTTTTTTTTAGTTGTTTCTAAATGATCGTAAATCTATACTTTTCAATTTACAGTCGATCCTCTATTTATATCTAAGACAAAGTTTCCTTGCAAAACAATGATACATAGAAACATCTTTACTTATCATCTTTGTCATTCTAGAAACAGTTTTAAAGTTATTTTTTAGGGTTAAAGTATTTTGAAAAATAATTTCTCAGGGGATTACATGTATTAAGTCGAGTTTACACTTTACCCTAATCAATGTTAATATGTAATGCATGTGAAAATATTGTTTCATGGGTCTCGTACATGTTTCTGTGTTCGTTGACAATCATTCCACTGCCGATTTTTGGAGACAAATCAAGCTTAGAGAACCAGCTAGTGTTGCTCAAGATTTCCTTAGATATTTATGTTTCTGCTATGCTCTTTTATATTTTTTTATTGTTTTAGCTGTATAAAAATCTTAGGTTCCAAAAAAAGTTCAATTTATAACAATAAGAGGTTCCACTTGTAGTTCATTTCAATTTATGTTTATTGTTTAAATATCTCTAATAGATCATAGCACGTATTAATAAAATTGACACATTAAACATCAAAAGGTTAAAATTAAATTAAAAACATTCTTTTTTTTTTTTTTTTTTTCAAGGCTCTGTCCACACTTGTCATGAAAGTGACAATAATCAGATAGCAATGTCATTAAATAAATTTTTTATTGTTTTTTTTTAAATAGGATCCAAAGCAAATATGTGATTTTGGAGTATATTACATGTTTCTGGTTATGTTGTAATTTTTTTTTTTTTTTCCGATGCATAGATGAGGACATCTACTTAAGAAATTTTTTTTAAAAATATTTATTTGCTTTTACTTTTTGTAGCGTTAGGTATAAACTATGCAATTGTTTGTCTCTGCTTATTTGGCTATTTCTGGAATTCAGGATGGTTATTCTACTGGTAACAATCTATTTATTACATGCGTTCGCCTCAAAATAATTTTGATTTGAATGCTTCTGACTCCCAAGTTTCTAAGGTGATGCCTTAACACACTCGTTTACCACAGCCTCAACAAAAATATTAATTATCGAAAATCCCATAATTTTAATATAAGGAAGATGATATTATTTTATATCACAAGATTTCTCAGCCTGTTTGGAATTTCGCCTTCCTTTAAGGTTCTGTTTCCCTATATTCCATGCTGAATAAGTTATATTATCTCAGTTAATTTTGTAATATTGTGGGAATGAAAATTTAACTTCTGATTCTACAGCATTAAATCAGGGGAGTGTAGTTAATGAAAGTAAATTAACATATTAAACTTTTTCTTAACACTAAAGTTTGTCTAGTGCAGAGGTCTCAAAACCTTTTGGCCCGCGGGCCACATTGAGATCTCCAATAAGTCCTGCAAACCATGGCTTTTAACAGAAATAGATGACACTTCAGTTACAAAATGAGCTTTCTGAGAGAAACAACTCATGCAATAAATGTTGTAGTAACCTCCTATTTGAATGATTAACTAAATTTTATATTTTGTTTTAAACAGTTTTTAAAATTTTAGTAACAAAAATAATTTTACGGGGGATACTTGGCGTCTAGTGTTTATTCTATTTTATTCATGACTTGTATTAGCCTTCCTCTTTCAGTTATTTTATTTAATTGATGTTTAAGTCTATTATTTCAAAGATTATTAGGCATGCAAAAAAAATTAAATCATGATTTATACTCTCCATTTATTTTAACATAGCTCTATCCCGCAACAATGTACATAAATGACAAATACATATTATTTTGTCTATACTTAAAGTGTTTTCTATCACTCAAGCTACCTGTTATTCAGTTGTTAGTACAGAATAACAGAAAAAATACCACATCATTCAGCTAATCTCTTTGTATAATTTGTCTTTATAATAATCAAATAGGAGGAGAAAATGCATGCTTTAGTCCCAGCTGCACCCTCAAATGTCCTTGATTTAACCGTGATTCCACAGTTTTATTCAAGGTGTGAATTATAAAATAAATTGTAGTTTCATTAAAAAAGTTATTTATTTATATTTCAATAAATATTAATTTGGATAATGTCCAACACTGCACTATAATATATTAATAATCTTGGTTCATTTCATAAAATTAATATTGTTCAATGTGCTGAATATTCATGCTTTTTATTTGTTCATTGGTTGTTGGTATTTGTGATGATATGTAAATGTTTGGTTGGGTGTGTGGTTTAGGGTATGATCAGATCCCGGTTGACTCGATGCAAGGCCTAGACCTCGGTTCCCAGCATGATTCTAACTACGGACCTATGGACGTCGGACCAGGGGACCTGGATTTCGATGCCCTAGATGAGCTCCCTCAACCACCGCAAGACAACAATCAAGTTGCTGCCTGGTATGATACAGATCTGTAGACGTGTCGTCTTATCTGACCATTCCAAACATATCAGTGTTAAATTTGACATCAGATGTTTTATTTTACTATCAAAATCTATGTATAGCAGATTTCTCTCTTATCTTATTTTCCATTTGTGGTAATGGAATTCTTAATATTGATTGATTAGCAAAATGTTCATATTTTTATATTAGCTATGAGATTTAACTTGTTAATTTTAGCATTTCTTTGATTGGCTCATGTCTTGTTTTTTTTTAGTTATTTGACAAAATACCAAAGAGAATGTATTCAATGGAAAACAAGCATTGTTCTTTAATGAATCATTCATCTGTTCATAAGAGAGCAATCTGCTTTTGTAGATGAACTTCCGCATCTCAAAATGTAATTTATAAAGTGATCATTGTTCTATTAAAAAAGTTATAATTTTCTTCTAACCTCCATAGCAAGGAATGTATTATCAATATTACTTAAAATAATTAATTCAGAACTATGGATTAATCAATTTTCATATAACATTTAAATCAGTTTTTGTTTTTTAATTTCCTTATAACCCATGTTTTCACACACTCTTCGAAAATTCCGTTTTAGCAAATATGCTATAAGTTTTTAATAATTAATGATATGTAACAAAATTTCTCTGGCATAACTTCTAGAATGTCAGAGAGGTTGGTAGTATCTTCACACTCATCAGTTTCTATTATTTTCATTGTGACAAAACATTATTTCTCCATTTTATTTTAAGTTTATCTAAAAATCTGTAAGTTTTTCAAACTGCTTTTAACAGATTATGATCATCTTTTATTTTTGTCTAATTTTGCAACATTAAAATTATTGAAACCTGTAATTTGCATCTTAGCCAAAGATTTTGTTAATACCTTACGAGTCCTTGTTGGACCACTTCTGATTCAAAATTATTAATGTCAATTAAAAAGGCTGATACTGTTTTTAACAGGGTATATTACAATATTTGTGGTAATGTGGCCTAACTTAATAAAATAGCTTTAAGGTTACATAATTGTCAAGATTTTTTCATATAATGCAAAATATAACTTTTTTATTTATAAATATATAGATATATATATATAGTTGTATTTATTTGTGAAACGGTAACTGGTTCTTGATTTTGAACCCTTTAAATTTATATCAGTAGTGCTAGCTGTAAAGTTTGTTAACTATTTGTAATAAATCATTATCGTTGGTGGTAGGTATCTAGGGTATTTATTTTCAATTTGTTTTTATTTATATTGAATTAAGTGATTTTGTTCACACGTCTCATGACTTAATTAATATTAGATTCTTGTTTAGCCTAAGTAATATACTGTGAAATAAGGACTTGACAAGTTGTTTTATGGGTTTGTTCAAACTTAATTTTGTGAAGCACAATTAGTTTTATAGCCAATGAATAATGTTGGAGGTGCTAGTGCTCATATTTTTATTCTATGCCTGTAAATATATATATTTTATGTGTATTTTTCTTGACGGAATCCAATATTTTTAATATTAGTTGAGTGAGGGTAGAGTTTTTAAAAAGAGCTTATTGATAATTTTTTTTTTATATGACTAACGTCATGTATGAAATCACTACTATATGTAATGGTCTTCAAGCTATGGACCACCACCCCACCACAACCACCCCCCCAACCCCCAACAAAACAAATATCAATAACACAAATAATAATATCACCACTATACCTAACACAAACACCCCACAAAAAAACACCCAAACTACCATACACCCCCAATATCCACCCAATAACAAATACCAACAATAACAACCCCCCCA